CCCACTCCCCCTCCCCCCAGAGCCTCTGGGGAAAGAGTCCAGAGCTCCTGGCAGGGGGGGTAAGGCCAGGCTCTGTAGCAACTATGCCTGGGCCAAGGAAGCTGACCTAGACCTGTGGCGTTCTGAACGGGCCCAGATCTGGGTTAGGGTGGGGCAGGTTCAGGGCAGTGGCTCCGGTGCATTTCCTCTGCCCAGTAGTCAACTGCTCAGCCTGCTCCACCCCACAGGTGACATTCCAGGGAAGGGATGGGACTACTTGGTGTTAGCTAGGGAGGGACAGAAGGGACATGAAGCCCATTCCCACCACTGATGGTCAGGACGGTGCTCTTGGGCAGGCCTGCCAGCCCCTAGGGGTGGGTGGCCGAAGAAAGAGGTGGCGGCAAGGCCTTGCTGCGTCTCTCTGTGGGAGCATTTTGGTCAGGAGAGGACTTCGGTGCTGGGGTCTCCCACAGCCCTTTGACTGTGAGTGGAGAGCAGGCCTTTAGCTGGTAGTGGCTTTAGCTTTATTCTACCTTCTTGCCCTAGGTCAGGTGGCATGAAGTCACACTCCCCTCACGGGAGTCCTGCCATACCCGGGTGACAAAGCTGCTTCCAGCCTGTGCTCAGTAGGCGAGTTGCAGATGGGATACAGGCCTTGTCCTGTCCCCAGCTGGCAGTGGGTGGCACCATGCACCAACCCCGGGCAGGTAGAGGCCTCTGTAGGAAGGCTGGGAACCAAGTGCACCCTGAGACTCACTGACAGGAAACGGGCTCCTTTGCCCCACCTCCCAGCTGTCAATAGCTCCTCCTCCCATAAGATCTCACCCTTCTCACCACACAGAGTCAGAGAGTCCAGTTACTTCATTTACTGTTTCACAGTTGTAGCAAACAAATCAAGGTGCAAACTGGGTTTATTTCACATTAATATATTAACTGGATTTTTTGTGTGTCAAATAAATAGGGATTTCTCTTTAAATAACCATCTCCTTGTTTTGCGTCCAGACCAGGACCAAACAAGAGCAAATCTTAGTGCATCCAGGGGGCGGGCGTGAAGCTCACACAGGGGCAGATGGCAAGTTTCAGGTCACATGGTTGGAGGTGCTCGTTCCCAGACCTAAGTCATGATTGGACAGACATGCACTCTCTACTGCTCCTGCAGAAAAGCCCCTTGTGTAAAGGGGAAGAGGAGGGGACACTACCAGAGGGGCTTCTCCCAGCTACAGAGGCTTTGCTTCTGATGCCACCAACCACTGGAAGTTCAGGGTAAAATTCCCAAAGCCAGAGGCAATGAGGGAACAAGGACAAGTGTGGAGTGTGACTGAGGCCAGGGCCTGACTGAAGGGAATGTGGACTGACCATCTGTGGGGACAGTGGCTTTCCGGGGTCAGGCACACCCCAGGAGGAAGGAATGTGAGCAGGACCTGGCAGGGCCTGTAGGAGAGACACAAGGCGGGTCTGATGAGCCCAGAAGATGGCGTAGGATGGTCATCAGGCTGAGGGGCTGGACTGTGGTGGAGGAGTGGCCAGAGAGTCCCTCTGTGGGCAGGAGCTACTACAGTGAGGAACAAGGGGCAATCCCAAGCTCCCAATAGCCCCAGAGATGGTGAGAGGGAAGCTAGACAGAGCAGTGCCATGGGTTGAGCTAGTGTGGGAAGCTGGGAGGCGCCTCTCAGAGGCCAGGAGCCCCGCCCTTCCATCAGGGCTAGTTCCTGGTAACTGTTTATAATCAGGCCTGGGGAAGAACAGGCCCTCCCTGGCCTCCCAGAATCTCAGATGCAGCTCCGTGGGAGGCCCAGGAAGGGAGGGGTCGTCCAGTGAGAGGCAGGGAGGTGGGCAAGGTCTACTGGGTCTTCTTGTCTTCTGGGGGGTAGTAGGGTGGCGGCGGAGGCTGGCTCTAGAGGAAGAAAACACAGATCATGTGAGACATCACAGAATGAGCAGTGTCTCTCTTTCACCACTGGCTCCCAGGCTGTGTGACTGAGAGGGCGGGCAAGCAGGTTTGCCCCACTTACCGTGGGCATGTAGACATTGTGTGGGTTGCCGGGGTTGTAATAGGCGCTGGCAGCTGCTTCTGCGGCCTTGGCCTCAGCTGTAAAAGGAAACACATGGCTGGATGGCAATGAGTGACAAGCCCCCCTCCTCCACCCACCTGAGTTCAGGGCAGCTGGTGCTGGCGACTCAGGCCACCAAAAGCTTCAGTGACTTTCCTAAGCACCTGCCACGTGCTGGCACTGTCTTTACAGTCCCTTTACATGCCCTTGACATAGGTCTATCGGGCGGTCCTGGTGACCATCTGTAGATGAGACACTGAGGCATACAGGGTGACTTTCTGGGTCCAAGGTCACTGGTAGCCAAGGGCCAACAAGGCTGGAATCTATACCTCATCTCACCTTCAGACTGTTGTTTCATATTCTATGGCACTGGGGACACAGAACATAGGCCTAGCCCATGCCAGGCAAGGGCTCACTAAACCAAACCCAGCCCTTGCAATACAGCTCTTCACCACCGAGCTATCACTCTGTTGGTTCCTCTGGGTGGTCTGTAAGCCAGAGGCCCTTCATCAGTAGTCTCCAGCCATCTTGTGGGGTTGTCTGTAAGACCTTCCGGAGGAGAAAGCTGGTCCTCAAGAATTGCTAGCAGCCTAGGGGCTCACCTGCAGGAGTGGAGGGGGCACTGGGGCCACTGACTGGAGGCTCCATAGGCCCAGGATAGGGTGGTGGTGGGGGCTGTACATATCCCATGGCGCCATCCATCATGGGAGGTCCTGGATAGAACTCTGCTTGGAAAGAGAGTGACAGAGACAGTGAGCACGCCCTCGTGGCTCCCTCAGAAGGCTAATCCTGGGAGTGGTCTGTCTATTTCCTTGGGGTGCCCTCTGAGCTCTCCACTGTTAGGTCTAAAGCAGGTGAAAGGGCACATTGCCCCTCTGCAACCTGAAGGTGTGGTTAGTGGGTGGGTGGGGAGGCTGAGGCTGGGCAGCAAAGGACACACTCACCAGGTGGGGGCGGTGGATAGGGGTAGCCAGGAGGGCAGGGGTACATTCCATTGGCGACTGGCGGGGGAAAGACATAGGCCCCACTGGGCATGTAAGGGTACCCATAGGCTCCATTAGGGGCTTCACCTCTGGAGGCTATAAGTACAAGGGGAGAGAGAGATGAGTGTTGCCTGCCTCAGGGACTGATGAGTCCAGGACAGTGCCCACAGATGCCATTCAGCCTCCCACTGCCCACCTGGGTCTGCCTAGGTCTCTGTGTGGGAGGGGAGGGGAGGGGAGGGGAGAGGAGAGGAGAGGAGGGGAAGGGAAGGGGAGGAGATGGAGAGGAGGAGAAGGAAGGAAGAACCTGGCCTTGATTAGGACTATGTAACAGACCAAGGAGCCAAGACAATAGACTCAACAACCTTTTAAAACAGGGGCAACAGGACAGAGGGGAGAGGGAGTAAATGGAAAGGTAACCTGGGGGGGTGGGAGGGTAGAATGAGGGAGTGAATGCTGAGCACAGTGCTTGGGAATTTACAATGGCTGCTGGGTGGTAGTTTAACAGTTGGGTTTATTGTTTGTTTTTCAGTCCAAACATTTCTGTCAGAATGCTGCATGCTTGTTATGGGCAGAGGAAACCCACAGACGGTAATTACAGGTTTCTTTCTCAACTCCCAGCCCTGCCATCTGGGCCCACAGTCACCTCCCAGTGCTTACAATACAAAATAAAAGGACAAACAAGAAACAAGGAGTGCTGGCCTCTTGTTTTTAAGAGCTGGGATACCTTGTGATGCCACCTGGAGCATCCGCTGCCCAAACTCAATGGCGCCCCCTGCTGTGAAGGTCAACTTGTAGGAAGCGGCGCCTTCCCAGCCACCTGAGAAGGGGCAAGGACAGTGAAGGAACAGTGAGGACATGAAAACAGGTTCAGTTCAGAGAGATGGCTCTTTGTCCTCTTCTGGCCACCGTCCAACACTGAGGAGGCTGTCGGGAAAGGGCGGGGCTTCGGCCTGTAGCCCACAAAACACCTGGTGCTGCACACTGGCCTGGCTCCTGCTTGTGGGTTTCATCCTCTCAACAGGGCTTTCCCCCACCCCCAGCCAAGTATACTGCCAGCACCAAGGCTACATGGTTGATTGTAGAGCCAACAGCAAGGGGGAGGGGAAGGAGGCTTCACTCGACCACCAGTAAAGCACTGGGCAGCTCTCCTGGTAACTGACATCGAGGTTCAGGTCAGGACTCTCCTGGTAAGAGGCCTCAAGACAGAACATGGTCCCTCCAGCCTGGCTGGCTGACACAGGGTCCCCTGGAGTCTGGGAGTCAGCCACAAAGCAGGGTGCCCTGCCAGCCGCTGGTAAGGAAGGGAGCTGCCTTTCCTTGGCTCTCATGGAAGGCTCCTCCCAGGAATGGGACACAGCTCCTCCCCAAATCTAAAACCTGGGCCTTCCCTGGGGGAAAATGAGCTCCTTTAGTTTTTAAACTGCTTGGCTCACTCTCTGACACAAGGCTGGTCTGACCCAGCACTCCCCAGCTCTTGGCAACCAAAGCCCACGGGTGCCCCTCTGCCATTAGCTCAGGTATCTAAGTTAATTCAGGGCTGGGAAGGGGGAGGCAGTCAGAGTTGCCCAGAACACTGCACTGAAAACCCAATCATGTCCCTGAGTCCCCTTGTCACCTACCTCCTGCTTCAGCCTTGACTGTTCCCTTAATGAAATTGGCACCAAACACTGGCTGCTTGATCTCACAGTCCTTCATGAGATAGAACGGCATCATGAACGACTGCATGGCGTCCTTCCCCTTAGACAGAAAGATGACCTGTGGCGAGAGGCAATAGGCCATTAGAGCCAGAACCGAGCCAGCTTAGCCGTTGCCTCCCACCCATTTTCTGTGTGCTGGTCTGTTCCTATGCCAGAGCAGCCAGTGTAGCCCAGGTCTGACGGCCGCATGGCTCCTCCCACGTGCTATAACGTCAAAGGCCTGGGTACAACCCAGAGACCCCAGACTCAGGTGTGCACAAAAGGAACCTTCAGGCTGCAGAGTGAGGATACACTGTTATCGTTTCAGAGGCAGAGAGGGTGGCCGATGTGTATACACGGGGGAGCCTGCTATGCTGCATGCAGGGCGGGCAGGCAGACTCCCCGGGAGGCGGGGGAGAGCCCAAGCTCATACAATATGCAGCACAAGGGTCCAGGAGAAGCGATCATTGTGACTTCCTGCAGGCCACTCTGCCTGACAGTCACAGAACTCTACTGTCCCACACCTGGAAAACGCCTTTCTTTTTTTTTCTTAATTACATTTATTTATGTTATAGTTGTGGTTTACATATGTTATGGGTGTGGCATGTGCACACACCACAGTGCACACATGAAGGTCAGAGGTAAGTTCTCCCCTTCTACTATGTGGGTCAAACCCCTGGGTTCCCAAACCACCCCTGGTTTCCAAACCACCGGACACTCAGTCTAACGCAAGATGTGAGTGTGAGTGTGAGTCTCTGGAGGTGCAGCCGTCAAAACCTACAGATGTGCACTGCCTCTAGCCGTCCTGACACCTCACTGGTGGGAGGCTACAGGCAGCGCCCTTTTCCTAACTATTAATTTGTATTACTCAGAGCCCACATGGCTCACTCTCAGGCGAGTCCAATTCTGCAGCCTGGCATCTCTCACTCTGCAGGGCTCTGCTGGGCTTTCTGCCCAGCCTGGAGGCTGTGGCCCTGCTACTGTATCCTGTTTACCACACTCATCACTCTGACTGTGCACATAAGCCTCGAGGGCTCCTCCAGGCAAGTCATCACAGCAGCTGTATCCGACCTCAGAGAGATCTTTGTGGAGTTTGCATGGCCCTGGTCAGGAAAACAGTACAGAAGGGCCTGGTGGTTCTAGAATCCAGGTCATGTGACAAAGAAAGAAGCAGAGCAAGACACTTGCATCCCTCAGGGTTCAGACGCCATGGGTGTCACAAAGTGAAGGAGAGACACTTGCATCCCCAGAGCTCAGACCCCATGGGTGTCACAAGGTGAAGGAGAGACACTTGCATCTCGAGGGCTCAAACGACATGGGTGTCACAAAGTGAAGGAGAGACACTTGCATCCCCAGAGCTCAGACCCCATGGGTGTCACAAGGTGAAGGAGAGACACTTGCATCTCGAGGGCTCAAACGACATGGGTGTCACAAAGTGAAGGAGAGACACTTGCATCCCCAGAGCTCAGACCCCATGGGTGTCACAAGGTGAAGGAGAGACACTTGCATCTCGAGGGCTCAAACGACATGGGTGTCACAAAGTGAAGGAGAGACACTTGCATCCCCAGGGCTCAGACACCACAGGTGTCACAAAGTGAAGTAGAAATACACATGACCATCTGGCAGCACGGAGCCTCTAACTGGCTGTACAACTTACACGGTATGGGGTAAGGTAGACAGTGCCTTTCTTGGTCCCTTTGAAAGCCTCTGGCACATTCTTCATGTCATTGAAGGTAAGTTCCACATGATCATAGGACATTAGGATGCTGTGATGAAAAACAAAAAACACAAAAAGACCAGATGATATGTCATCAGTCATGAGTCATTGGAGACATGGACTAAGTCACTCACAACACTGTTGCAATAGGACTATGAGTAAACCATCAGGACTGTCAGGTAGAGATAGTCCCCAAGCTCCATTTCTACAGCCCCCAAGTGACCAGGGTAAGAGAACTGTCTTCGACGGGCGTTGGTGGTGCACGCCTTTAATCCCAGCACTTGGGAGGCAGAGGCAGGAGGATCTCTGTGAGTTCCAGGACAGCCTGGTCTCCAGAGCAAGTGCCAGGACAGCCTCCAAAGCCACAGAGAAACCCTGTCTCGAAAACCAAAAAAAAAAAAAAAAAAAAAGAGAACTGTCTTCATCTCTCCAACTGGACTAGGTCACCTGAGTTTTCTCTTCAGTCTGCTCTTAAGCCCTGTGACAGGCATTCTAGTTTGGGCTTTCTGAGGCTGGTCTTGAGCTTGCTAAGTTATTCCTGCTTGCATCTCCCAAGTGCTGGGATTACAGACTTCTACCGCCAGGCTGCTTTCATGAGGTGCTAGGGATGGACACAGGGTTTTGTGCATCCCAGGAAAGCATACTACCACCTGAGTCACAGCCACAACAATTTTACTGTTTTTTTTTTTCCTAAAAAATAAAACAAAACAAAACAAAACTAATATAGCCGGACAGTGGTGGTGCTCGACTTTAATCCCAGCACCCCAGAGGCAGAGGCAGGTGGATCTCTGTGAAGATAGCCTGGTCTACAGAGTGAGTTCCAGGACAGCCAGAGCTACACTGAGAAAGCCTGTCTCAAAAATACCAAAACAACAACAATAAACAAACAACAAAAACAAACAAAACCCTAATATATAAACATGAGTCTAATGGGACTTGGGGATGCAGCACAGTAGTATTTGCCTAGCATGGTCACAGTTCTGAGTTCTTCCCCAGCAACACACACACAGCTAATAAATAAGTAAATAATAAAAGTATAGAGTCAAAGACATGATTCTATAGTTTCATTGGATCCTCTGAAGCTGGAGACACAGGTGGTTGTGAGCCGCCTGACATTGATACGGGGAACTAAATGGGCCCTCTGGGAGATCATATTTTTGTTGTTGTTGTTGTTGTTTCTATGTGTGTGTGTTTTTTTTTTTTTAATCCAAGCTTCTTTAGCTGGAGCTGTAGAAAATGTCTGTGGATAAAGCCCTTGAGATGTGTGTATATGCATGTGTGTGTCTGTATGTGTGCGTGCGTGCGTGCGTGCGTGTGTGTGTGTGTGTGTGTGTGTGTGTGTACTTGTGTGCTCGGTTTTCTGGGAAGAGTTCACAGCCTTTATCTCTAACAGTGGTTTGTGAATTAAAGGTTAATGTTCACTAGTTTTGGGGGGGGTTGTTTTTGTTTTTTTTTTTTTTTTTTTGGTTCTTCGAGACAGGGTTTCTCTGTGTAGCTTTGGAGCCTATCCTGGCACTCGCTCTGGAGACCAGGCTGGCCTCAAACTCACAGAGATCCGCCTGCCTCTGCCTCCTGAGTGCTGGGATTAAAGGTGTGGTCACCAATGCCCAGCTTGTTCACTAGTTTAAATATCATAAGTTTGAGCACTGCACTTACATTTCAATTATTACTGACACATGTTTCAGAAGTGAGGCTGAAGTTCTTCCCAGGACCCTATTTGGTAGCAATGAGCCAGGTGCTGAGCCCAGGAGGGCAGAAATCTTCTACATAAAAGCCAGAGTAAGTGAAGGAAAACCACTCTCAAACGATGAAGCTAAACAGCTCTGGTTGTGGTGGTACATCTCTGATTTCCCTGCTCTCAAAAGCCAGAGGTCGGATTGCCTCAGGTTCAAGGCCAATCTGGATGGAAACCATAGACTGAAAACCAGAGAGAGGGGTAGTGGTGGGGACACCACTGAATGGCATCAAAGTACTTGACCAGCCAAGGTACTGGACTAAGTACACCAGAGAATAAGGTTTCTCAGATTACATGACATAAGGGTCCAAATTCTTATGTCTCCTCCTCATCCCAAATACCCTTTCTTGGTGCAAAGGTAATAGAGGACTTAGAACACAATAAAAGAGGCCAGCTCAGGTTAAAGAAGTGATCACCAGCTGGACGGTGGTGGTGCACGCCTTTAATCCCAGCACTGGGGAGGCAGAGGCAGGCAGGAGGAACTATGTGAGTTCCAGACCAGCCTGGTCTACAAAGTGAGTTCCAGGACAGGCTCCAAAGCTACACAGAGAAACTGTCTCGAAAAACTAAGAATTAAAAAATAATAATAATAAAGAAGTGATCAGCTGGGCGTTGGTGGCGCACACCTTTAATCCCAGCACTGGGGAGGCAGAGGCAGGCGGATCTCTGTGAGTTCGAGACCAGCCTGGTTCTACAAGAGCTAGTTTCAGGACAGGCTCCAAAGCCACAGAGAAACCCTGTCTCGAACACCCAAAAAAAAAAAAAAAAAAAAAAAAAAAAAAAAAAAAAAAACTTGCTGGGCTGGCCAGAACCTGCCAAGAACTATGGAGACAAAATCAGCATTTCCAGTCTGTGTCACCCCACACCTTCTCTTCTGACTCATCAAACATTCTCAAGTGACAGGTCCCAAGATGGCTTTGACTTCGACCACGCCTCCCTTGGCCTTCAAGAAGACATTCAAGCTTGCATAGCTCAGGTCAAGAGAGTCTGATTTCCAATGTCCGAGCAAGAAAGGAAAAGAGAAGCGACAGAGAGGGCCCAAAAGTTGGAGAGGAAGAGTGGATGGTGCAGTGAGGGGTAGAGAAAAAAGAATCTTGCAGTTGAGAGACTTCTACTCTGGCGAGCGACTTAAGCCCTCAGGAATCCAAGAGAACCAGGGGAGCGAGCGAGCGAGCGAGCGAGCGAGCGACACAAGGGAGACGCCTTTACAAGGCCCGCGGGCGCCAGGCACTGGGTGAGCAGATGACAGCCCCTCAGTTCCACCTCTAGGGCCTCAGCCTTTCTCTTGGAACCTGAGAAGTTCTGGAATATACGAGGAGACTGGACAGGAGTGGTTAAGCAACTGTTGGCTTTGCGGTCAAGACTCTTGCCTCAGGTCCCATCGGTCACTCACAGCCCTAAGCCAGGTTATTCGCCCTGTGTGAGCCTCGCTTGCCCTACCGGTAAACCGTGTGGGATAGTTTCTGCCGCACAAGATTAGCTGTTATCTGAGGCAGAACCAGCCCACACCGCGCCTCCTGCCGCGTAGCA